AAACAGAATTCTATCCTTATGGACTACAGCTTCTGAAAGTGCAGAGATTATGAGACAAGTAAGCTAATATGTAAAGAACTCAAGGGCCAGTTCCTCTAAATTTGGCAGAATAACCTCACAATATCAGAGGATAGAGGACAAGGAGCATATAGCAAACTATATGCGCAAACATACACCCTATTCTGCACCCCTCAAGCTAATATGCTACTCTAAATTCTATTGCTAGTTTATAATACTCAACTACCAGTATATCTGGCTTGTTATTTACAATTAATGGGCTAGGACTGCCTGTTCTCAACCTACTTCTGCATAAGAGAATGGACCAGGATGGAATTGCTGTTTAGTATTAACTGCATCATGCTTTTAACTTATGACTCAACTAGAGATCACCATCAAATAAATGGTGCATGAAAAAGTAAAAATCATCAGCATGAAAGGAAGCTTAATGATACTGTTTTATAAAATAATAAAATGCAAAGGTAAACACATGGCATAACTGTACATATATTTTCTTTTCAGTTAAGTGACCCTTAGACAATTATAGTTCTGACTATAAAGCACCTAACTATTATATATTAGCCTGAAGTTTCCAGTTACTTTTCAATCCCTCAGATTTAGTTTTATGTTGCGCAGGAAAGTTCATTAAGCAAATCACAACTTTCTCGGATTAGATAATTAGAGTCACAGCTACTTCCCTTTGAAAACTCAAGAAGATAGAAAGAAAATAATTGTAGTCTTAGCAAAATCCACATATTATACTTAAAGTCTAGATGTTAGCAGACAAAGAGGCTGTTATATTTCAATTTTAATTGAAAATTTGACACACTATCAAATATGATGAATCCAAATATGTCCAGAGGGCACAAAAAATGCACCCAACTGTTGCAGACAATTAAATCACTGTAAGTTCAGTGAATCTGTTGTGCACCACATTGAAATTGGTTTCAAATGTATATTGATCCCAATAGTTGCCAAGACTTCAACTGAATCAATTAACTTTCCAGGCTTACGGGTAATTTTGAGATTCTTTATTTCAGTTGGTGACCACATTAAAATGTTGAAAGGGACAAGGGAATGTAGCAAGATGGGGAAATGACAAAAGCAAAATTTCATCATTGCAACACAACTCCATTTTTTGATATGTATGTGAAAAGTAATGTTGATTTCATATTAATTCTACCTTTACTTTTTTTTAAAAGTCTGTTCTGTCTGCTGAATAAATTCTTTATTATTCAGTAGATGCATTCAAAGATTGTTTTAGAAATGTGTTTGAAATTTTCACCACATACAGATTGGACTGATAAGATTTAGATTTTAACTACATGATTTTGGCTTGAAAAATCTTGCTAACAAATCATTTATATACTACAGCTGACAGCCCAGATATAAATATTCAGCTAGTGGGCAGGAAAAAAAAACAGAATAAAGTAGAATATCTAAGTCTACAGGGAAAAGTAAAAATGCAGCCCATAGGAGCTGAGATTGGACTGAGAAAACCAAATTGTTCCAAGAGGTTATCAGCATGGAGAGCAAAAGGTAGAGAAACAAACATCAAAATACAAGATGCCTTAGTGATTCTTACTGCTTTTCAAGGCCCATGTAGTTGGTGCCTCTTTAGCCCAGCTGGTGCTTGTTAATGTGAAGGCAGCTATCTCTCCCAAGATGCCTGCCCCTTAGCTTGGAACTCTGATGCTGCACCAGCCCTTGTTCTTTGATTTGGTGGTGACATAGGTTGTTACTTGGGGTCAGGGAATTGAGCTGCTAGGTTTATGGGATATGCAAAACTCAGGACAATCATCTCCGAACTTAGCAGCTCCGCTGGCAAGTCTCGATATTCGCCTTTAGACATCTATCCTTCTGAGCAGCTTCGAGCTGAAATATACCTCATCACAAACTTCCACTTGAGATATTTTGATTCATTCAGCACCCAGTCTGGTACTTGTAGTCTTAACAGTAGTTATGATAATTTTCAATTTTCCCCCTATGAAACAGCAGAAAAGGGAATTACAGAAGGAAGCTTTAAAGAGGGAGAGGGATAAAAAGAGTAAGAAAAGGAAGGGAAAAATGAAAGAAAAAAAGTAATAAGAATAAGAACCAGGAAATAAAGGAATATGGAAATCAAATAAAAATGAAAAGAAATTGCCTATTTAAAAGACATAGAGATAATGGTTAAATAAGGATTAAGAAAGGGGATTCTGCAAGGTGATGTGGGGTAGTATTAATGTATTTGAAGTAATAAATTACTTAGAGAGTAGGAAAATATAGATTTTTAAAAAGAAAAGATTAGAACAGATACTTTTTGTTATTAGAATATTTGTTCTTTGTTAACCTATATATAGAGATAAATGGAATAAATATGAAAAAGAGAAAAAAGTTTATTAACTATGTTTAATGACTTCAAGAATAAAGTTGAAATGAATTATGAGGATTGCTGTAATGAAATAAATATCAGTTTTTATGATTAATTGAATAGACCAATTTTCCTTTTTTATTTAGAAATTATAAATGATTTGATGTAATTGAAAGGGAAAGTGCCATGTGGAATCTGATTGAAAATGTACATGTGTTATGTCGTTGTTAGGAGATTATTATTAATCTTTAAGGTGGTAATTTAAAAGTTAAATGATTATTGGGAATTAAAGAGGAGTTAACCAAATGAAATATAAGTTATAGGGGTGGTACACTCCAATTGGTAAATGTGGGGGAAACTTTTTTGAAATGTTTGAATTGAGTTGTTTTTGAAATGATGAAATAAGAACATGCGATGAAATTGCAAACCTGACAGATAAAAATATAAAGCACAATAAATATGAAGATATGAGAATTAAAGATAAAAGAGGTTAAGAAATGAATAGAAAATATATAAAATAAGTTTGAGAAAAGTACTTGAGAAAATTAATAGAAAATATGTAAAGAAATGATAGGATATGAAACTAAATGTGAAAGATGAATATGTAATCAAAGTCATGTTTGTATGGAAATGTGAAAACCTGGAATCATGCTGTTCACAAAAAAAAGATGTCTTTGAAATGTGAAAAAATAAAAAACTTTTTAGAAAAAAAATGAGTATCAAACCCCATTTATAATTAGTTAATTAGATTGAACAATTGATGAATAACTTTTCATTTTGATTTCAGTGAGAACTAAGAAACTTAATTTTCTATATTTTCCCTGTCCTATATAAAATTAGATTAGTTTTGTCAGTTGTTCCTCCCTTCAACTACAACTAAAAACATCAAATATATTACTGCGATCATACTATGTGCAGGAAACTATATTCTATGTTATCCATTTGCTTTTCCTTCTTTTAATGCATGGATGGTGAATGATGGCCCTTTTATGACTTGTGGATTTCAACTCAATTCTGGGAGTTAAAGTCTTATTGTTCAGTTATGACTGCTTAGTACCAGAGTGCCCCCCTCTCCAAAGGTAGTATTCAACCGGTTCGCACCTATTCGGGTGAACCAGTAGCAGTTATTTGGCATGGCTCACCAAACTGGTGCTGACCCTGGCTGGCCACGGCTCCAACCCAGTCGCCTGGTCACTCACTTGCCCCGATCGCTCTCCTAGCTTTCTGTTCCCCACGTCCTCTTTCTCCCTAGGGGGAAAGGAAGAAAGCCATGGACGCTGCAAGTATCATTTTTCCCTTGTGAGTTAAAGTGCCTGGAATGAGAAGGAGTGCGGGCTGACAGAGGGGGTAGGGGTGAATCGAGCCTCGGAGCACTTTTGCAATGTAAAAGAAATGCATTTTGAAGCAGGTCCTTTAAAAAAAACTTCTCCAAGGATTCCCCATGGACACTGCAAGTGTTGCTTTCCCCGTGTGAGTTAAAAGTGCCTGGAGTGAGGAGTGTGGGCTGACAAAGGGGGTGGGGGAATCCACTCCAGCCTTGGAGAAATTTAAAGGAGCTGCTTCAAAATACAAGTCTGTTAAGCTTGTGTGTGTGTGTGTGTGTGTGAGAGAGAGAGAGAGAGAGAGAGAGAGAGAGAGAGAGCGCTCTGTGCTATTATTTTTAATTGTTCCATTATTTATTATATGTTAATATTTTACACTGTCCCTACACCTAGAGTGATTTTTCTGCCTTTCTTTTGCCCAGGGCTACCACATATTTTTCAGGGTTTACATGCATTCAATGTCAATAGTCCAGAGCATAAAATACATGTGTTTAACAAGAATTGAAAGGGACTTTGGAGGTCTTCTAGTCCAACTCCCAGCTCAGGCAAGAAAACTGATGCCAAACTCTGAGTAGAAGTCCTAGGAAAGGTGTCAGACTAACAGAATAACACTAAGAAGGGACCTTGGGGCGGGGGGGGACTCTATACCATTTCAGAGAAATGGCTGTCCAGTCTTTTCTTAAAAACTTCCAGTGTTGGGAGCACCCAGAACTTCTGGAGACAGGCAGTTCCACTAGTTAATTATTCTCTCTGTCAGAAGTTTCTCCTTAGTTTTAGGTTGCTTCTCTCTGTTCAGTTTCCATCCATTGCTTCTTGTTTGCGTTCTGCTTCTTTGGAAAATACACTGTCCCTCTTTCTTTGTGGCAGCCCCTTAAAAGCCTGTTGCCTATCATACTCTTGGGTAAAGCATGTGAGCCATTTCCTCCTTTCAGTGGTCCATGAAAGTACATCTATAGTATGCAGATAATAAAGTAAAAAAAGCTGAACATCATTTTTATAGAACTATAGATAAGTTGAGGCTGGGTGACAAGGAATGGCTGGGAGGGGAGGGGCCAGGTGAGGCACCCCTTGACGTGAGTGACATTGAGTTGGCCACGCCCACCCACATGACCACCAAGCACACCCACCCAGTCACATAAGCAAGCCACGCCCACCCAGTCACATGGCCAAGCCACACCCACCCACATGATCACCAAGCCATGCCCACCAAATAAGCCACGCCCACAGAACCGGTAGTAAAAAAAATTGAATCCCACCACTGCCCCTCCCCATGGGACCGAAGATACAGACCATCCTTGAGTGAGAAATAATGAGTCAAAAGCAGAGAATATAGAGAAATGTTTATTTATAAATTAAATATATTATATATCTGTGTTCAGCAAACATATTAAAAGGCATCTTCATTGAATAAAACCTAATGTCTTAAAAGCAAAAAGGCAGTTCTAATGGCAGGTTTCAAATATACTAAAATAATATTTTTCTTTCTCTTTCAATAACTGTATAAACTCTTATGTAATATATCCTGAAACGTGCATTCAATATTATCAGTCACACAATACAAAATATCCAGGAGACACCAACGGATTCCCAAGTCATATATTGTGACTCAATAATATCCAAATTATAGCAAAGCCATAAACGAAGTGATATTTGGGCTCTGCAGTACTGTAAATGTTATGGTCACATTATTTCTAGTAGGTATCAATGAAAAACAATCTATATCCATGGCTTCTGTTTATTAATGAAGTTATGGTCTAATAACACACCTCTATGTGGCCAAGCCGATTCAATTCACCACATTTTATAAACTATAAATATAAATCAGCTTATGAAAAGCTTACATTATTGCTTATTAGAGTCTGAGGGATAAATTTATTTAAGAAGACAGAAATAGGTTGAAACGTGAACTGCAAGTTATCTCAAAAATTAATGCCCCATATTTTCGCTGCTGTTACACATCAGAGATTTCATTTAGGAAAATATGATTGGAGAAAACTAACTTCTAATAAAAATACAGTCTCTTGGCAAACGGCAGAAAGATTCACCCAAAAGTGAGAAAGTAATCACATGCCTAAGAATAATGCTACAAATAATTCTTATGTATATGGTTGTATTCCTAAGTCCTATATCAATATACAATTTCAATTTTTGCTGCTAAGATGTATGAGGCTAACAGATAGCAATTTTAATTATTTGTGTGCCAGATATAGGTGATCTGTTCGATACAGATAATGAATTATGGTAAAATTATCTTAAATAGTATGGTAATGTTATACTTTGTAAAATACTGTTATACTCAAGCATGTCAGTTCATTTTCACAGCAATCACACCAATTCTCTTGTAAACCATGACGTAGAATGTAGGCATATCCTTGCAAGAGATTTCTGTCATACACATACTAAAATCTGAAACAAATTCACAAATTAAATGATTATCACAGCTGAAGGACAACATATTGTCTCCTTGCCAGGACAAGTACTGAGATTGACTGTATTGACCTTTTGTTTTTTAAATCAACAGTGAGAACAATGTCATTTTGCCCACCCCACGTTGGGAGAGCCAGGTTAGGTTCCATGGCAACCCCAATGGTTAGGGTTAGGGCCACACTTCATACTCAGCGTTTCCTCTTTAAGGCAAACCTGCTCACTCTTAGTAGAACCAGACATCTCAGACTAACACTTTATCATAGGCCACTATCTTTCACTGATATTTGTTGCTAGGGTTTTATTGTTTATGAAAAAGTATTGTCTCTATTCTTATACAAGTGGGCAATGCACTGAGGATAGTGGATCTTCGTATAGAAATTGAAAAGGAGTAAGAGAATACAGCCTAAACAATTATCTCCCAAGTAGTAATAAAAAGGTAAAGTAGTTTGTAAGCAATTTGATGCTTACAATAGGACTTTCCATGTAGCTATTCTACACACCGCTGCTTAAACACTGTAAGGGAAATTTCAGGAAGATGTGTACCATTTAATGAGGTATTAACTTTTCCAGGACAACACTAATTGGTAAGGCAATACTGAATTTTTATATTCTCATATGATCACAAAGTAATAAAAAAACTCCCTCACATTTGCAGACTAGTCTATGAATTCTCTTTTGACATTTTGAGGATAAAAATACAGTAAGGATTTTTAAAATCCTCATTACAAGTATGAGGAAACAACTGGTCTATGATTACCAGTCTTCATCTACAGTTTTTAAAAGCACATTGTGACTGCTCTGGCCTCTTAAGCTGTTCCAAAGAAAGCCACCTGCTATATAAAGAAGTAAATTTACTATCCTTTCTAGGCAGATAATATAAATGTCATCTTATATAATTTTTTTTAAAAAATAGCATTTATTTAACTGAAGGCAAGGATGTATGGTTGCCATTTATGTAGATGAATACTTTTGCAGAAATCCAAGACAAAAGTTGGATTGATTATACTAAATTATACAGCCTCATTTATGGAACGGTACAATAATTACAGAGAGTTAGTTGACTACAGGTAGTCCTTGGGTTACAAATGGAAGGGAGCCTGCCCATTCCATTTGTAACCCTAGGATTCATGGGAGGGAATCTCATACCTTAAATGCGATCACTCCCTCCTTTCGCCCATGCATTCGCTAATCAAATGCGAGGCTTGTTAAGTGCACATGAGGTATTTCAGAGTGGGGAAGCCCATGGGGGGGGGGCGGGCTAGTGATGAAACAGGCCACTTCCTTAAGACCAAGGCCTCCACAACCTGCTGAAATACCTCCAGCCTTTCAGCCACGCATGTCACTCTGAAGCTCCGTTTTGGCGTGGCAGCCCAAAACTGAGATTTGGAGGGGCAGGGGTCAAAGCTCCATTTTGGCATGCACAGGCCTCATCTGGCACTTTGCAGCCCAAAACAGAGCTTTGGAGAGGCAGGGGACAAAGCGCCATTTTGATATGGCAGGCCTCGTTCAACACTATGCAGCCCAAAATGGAGCTCCAGATGAGGCCTGCCCACACCAAAACAGAACGTTGGAAGGGCATGCAGGCCCCTCCAGAGCTCCATCTCAGGCTGCAATGTTCTGGATGAGAAAATGGAGCTGTGAAGTTCCATTTGGACCGCAAAGGTTTTTTGCAAGAATGGCAAAAGGCTTTGCAAATAGAGGGAAAGCTTTGATGTTTCAGGCCTTCCTTTCATTTGCAAAGCCTTTTGCTGCAGATTTTGCCTAGACCTCTGTTTGCAGAGAATGGAAGCCTAAAGTACCACGAGACCACGAAAGATCAATAGCATGAGATCTCGCACTACTGATCTCACAAAACCTCGCAGTACTTTAGGCCTCCATTCTCTGTGTGGTCACTGAAGGCCTGAAGTGCCAAAACAGGCAAGGAAAGTGAAGGAACTCTAGATCTTCGCAAGGTGAGTATCCACAGGCCTAGTGCCTATGAAGACCTGGAGCAGAGGGTGGAATAGGCAGGGCAAATGTTGCAGAGCTTCTGTGGTTGTTCATAAGGACAAACAACTGCCTCAGTGCTGCAACATTCATAGTTTTGGGATTTGTTCATGAATACTAGGGGGCATTATCACGTAACTTCAAACATTCGCTATGGGAACACTTGTAACCCGGGGATTACCTGTATATGCGTAAATCAAAACAAAATTGCCTAAGTACCATTAGAAAATTGTTTTCTTACTATAGTTGTGTACTGAATGAAAAGAATAAAAAATATGAAGGAATATAATTCAGTTATTTTAAGAAAAATGCAAGTAATCAACATCATAGTGTCAAAAGTCATTTTGTTATGGGATGCCTCAAAGCACAGAAGTTGTGAAATAGTTATGTGTGGCGATATAAGAAAAGAAATTAACATGTCTCATTTTGATCAGGAAAAAAACTATATACTGCAGAACATCTTTGTATGTTTTTAAAATAGTAGGTAACATAGAAAATCATTTAGAATATTCTTTCCACGTCATCTAGGAAAACAATCTTAAGCAACGGATTCCCATTACAGTTCTGTCTTATTTGGTTGTGAAGATGTAGAACCAGCATTTTTTTCTCCAGCATGATTCTTGTCTGCAGGCTCAAAAGCTAATGAAGCTGAATTTATGCAGTATCGTTTTCCAGTTGGACGTGGCCCATCGTCAAATATATGGCCAAGATGAGCACCACACTGAAAGAAAAGAATGTAACTTGTGTTTATTTTTAAATACAGAAAACCTAGTGGGCAAATGTAAGGTAAATATTTGAAAATTAACACACATGAACTTTATTTTTAAAGTTGTTAAATTGGATTTAATTTAAACCATTAGTTAGTATTTAAAATGCTGGTCTTCAGTCATTATTCCTTTTTATTTGGTCCTTTGAGAAACTTACTCTAAACATATGTGCTTCAAATACATGCAGTTTGTGTCATGCCTCTGTCGGAATCTGATTCCGAGGGGGAGCCGAGCAGCTGACAGGAAGTGGGAGTGTGGCTCCATTGGCTGTGGAAGAAACTGGGGAAGGGCACAGTCTGGTTGGGTAGAGCAGGGAAGAGGTAGAGCAAGGTAGAGGGAATTCAGAGGAAGATCCAGGCCCATCCCCTCTTCATCCTAGGGCACGCAGGGAGGAACGGAGAAGGGAGCAACATGAGTTGTGTGGCTTATGGGGGAGGAAAGGGTCTTGATTCCCTTCATTAGCTGCAGCTGGGAACAGTGTTTAAAAAGGGAGTTTGCGCACAGCAACTTGTTGGAAGCAAATCATGAATTATCTTTTATTGTCGAGGCTTATCTGGGTTCCTGGTGTCTTCCAACTGTGTGTGTTTTGTTGGCCTTTGAAGTCTGCAATTCCTTATCCTGCCCTGTCCAGTTAATTGCTGCAGCGTGGTTTGTGTGGATTTTTATTTACAGTTTATATCTACTTTGTTTTCGGACTGAATTTCTTCCACTTAAAGACTGTTCTTGGGAGAGTTTTTTCAGCTGACTGGACATTGGGGACAAAGTTGGAGGTATTACAGGGACTTATCTTACTTATGTGACTGTATTACCTTTGTGCCACGCCCCAGGTCATCACAGTTTGATTGCAATTTGTACAAAGTGAATATGCTTATCCACATATCAAATAGAAGGGTCATATCTTTAACAATACAAATGAAAGTAATGCGATACGAGGTTGGTTTAAGATTGCCATATTGTTCTTTTCTGTCCTCCAAATGAAATTAATTCTGAAGAGGATGTTTAACTACAGTAAATAAACACTACAACACTGTAACATTATAATATTCAAAAATGTTTCTTGTAGGTGACTTACTAACTCTACAAAGAGGTCCTGCAAAAACTAAAATAACTGCTGGAATAAGAAGTGCATGATTATTCCATAGAATTCTGTCAGGATTCAGGACATCATTTCTGAAGAAGATCCCTGAGTACTCAAAAGCTTCAAAAGAAGTTTTATACAGAGAAAATTATAAATAATATGTCCTTTTGTGGCAAAATGGTTCATCATAAGTATCACCTTGCCAGTACAATAAAGAACTGTATGATATACAAAGAAAGTTATTGTTCAGATAATTAAACTTTTATAGCTCCCAGCTAGGAACAGCCACTCCAGAGACACTCCTACATTGTCTAGCAAATTTATTTTATATCAAGACAACTTCACTTTAGCTCTATTAGACTTCTATTTTTTCCCAGAAGCTAACATAATATTATGCAAAATATATCTTATTATCTATGCTTTTAATTAATGAGATCCTTTAATGATTCTACTTGATGTTTCCCTTTACTAATCTGCTACTTTATGGTTTACTCTCCTGTTAAATAGCCTATTATAATAATGTACTTGCGAGCTAACATTGCGAGCTAACTTCTGATTGCTTTGGAATGAAAAGCAGAAAAACAAATCCCCAAAACAGGAATATATGAAAGTGGTTAATTATCTATATACACGTAAGTAATTTAACTGAAGGTCTTAAATAGGCAAAAAAAATAAATACAATTATGCTTTCACATCAGAGCTCCCATGTAGACTCTTCCCTCCAGACTGCAGTTCTACTAGCACTGAAACAATTTTATGATTTGTTTATGATTTATGATTTGTTTATGATGATTGCCAGTACGACAGCTCTGAAAAGAAAAATGGAAAATGACTATAAAATATGTAGGCCCACTTATTAGCTTGTTCAAATGATCACCTTAATATCATTTTTAAAGTAATTTTAGCACACTGATATAGAAAACTTATAATCAAGATCAAAGTTAAAATTCAGCTGAAACTAGTTCAACTGCACTAAAAAAACTGAGTTAGAATTTTCATTCACCATTGCATTTGCCTTTCTAAATACTTCTACTTATGTCTTCCAGTCAAATTTCTTTTGTGCTCTTTTATAATTAACTATATCTTCTTGTTTCTGGGATTTGTTATTTTGCTCAATAACCTTTTCTCCCTGATAAAGTCTGGACCGAGCCATTAATGCTATGGAAGACAGATGATAGTAACAGTCAAAAGGAATTAGAATGAGACATATAATGGAAAACAGAATTTAACATGATCAGTCAAGTATTTTGGCAGAAGGAGCTTGAAGATAAGCAGTAAGATACATGAGAATAACTCCTGGATTTCTGTTGGTACTGCTCCTCAGCTATTCATAATGATGAAAGTAACACCCATTATCCACATTTAACATTTAGATTTAAGAGAGCAGAGGTCAAAGGGGAACCTCAAAAGGATGTTTGCCTGAAGGACAATTTCTAAGCCTTGTGATTTAGGTCACTTATGTACACACTGTTAAATAAAGTTTAACCTAGATAACAATATAGATTCTCTTTAGACTTTAACTTTTTATACCTACCAGCTGTCATGCTTATGACCAGCAGGCAACGGTTAATTCTGGGGTAACTAAGAGTTTGCAAGTCTTTCTATGTGAATGGATGAACTAGAGCTGCTACAAAAAAAATATTTAACATTAGAATGGCTGTTCTGTTATTTTTAAACTGACCTGAGTGCAGCTTGTCTCAACCCTGTGCATCCCAAATGAGTAGTCATCAGTACATGTAATTGTGTCAGAGTTGATTAGATCATAGAATGAAGGCCATCCTGAAAAATAAAAAAGGGACAAGAAATTAATCAGGAATGATTTGAGGATTAAATAAACAACTGATTGTTTTAATCACAAATGTGATTCTCATTCACTTGCTATACTCTTAACAGATAACAGATAATCAGAGTTGGAAGGGACTTTGTAGGTCATCTAGTCCAACCCCCTGCCCAAGCAGGAGACCCTACACCATTTCTGACAGATGGGAGTCCAATCTCTTCTTGAAAGTCTCAAGTGATGACGCTCCCACAACTTCCGAGGGCAAGCTGTTCCATTGATTGATTGTTCTTATTGTCAGAAAGTTTCTCCTTATTTCCAGGTTAAATCTTCAGTTTCCATCCATTGTTCCTTGTCTGGCCTACAGGTGCTTCAATGTGCTCTGGATGAGCATACTGAACAGGCAAAGCAAAGCAGTAAGTTTTCACATTGTGAAATGCTGTACTGTTTATTCTTGTCTAGGGTAATAATCCTATATAATTTAAAATGTATGAATCATCTAGAGAATTATATTCATCGATAACTGTCACTTTAAAATTCCCACTTTAAAGAATCTAAACAAGAAGCAGAAAGTTAACCGGCCTCCAAAACACAGGCATTCTTATCAAAGTGAGAGAAAAGCGTTTTCTCAAGTAGTCCATTAATTTTCCATCACCTTCGTTTAAAAACAAGATTTCTGGTGTAGCATATACACATGTATGTGCTCTTATTCATACATATGGTGGATGACTAGAAATGCATGTCATTCTGGCATGTTCTATATGGAAAAATGTCAAGGACCAACATTTCTGTAACAAGAGTAAATTGGGAACAGTTGTTTTTTTCTTCTATCAAAAAAATTAAAAACATTATATCCATTAACTGCAACTTTGATATGAACTGGGTTTATAAAATACAGCCAAAAAGACAGTGTAAATAGCATGCTTCATATCTTCCACTCACCTTCCCCATTTTTTTCTACAAAGATTCTCATGGGAAAGTTAGTATAGTATAGCTCCTATACAAAAACTAATGGAAGCACTACATTCCTACTCAGTCATGTAACACTAATGATTTAAAATTACAGCCTAAAATATATCCTACAAAGTATATCAGATGAGGAGATATAGAATTCTATAAAATCACTGAAGACGAAGACCAAAATGACACATTTGTCAGGTTGTGGACAGCTGCACTAGAGATGCATCCATTCCTGCCAACTCAATGGAATTGATCCTCTTATCGATTGCTGTAACAGGCAGTAGTGTTTGGAAGAAGAATGGCTTTATCATGTAAACAGGTTGAAATATTGAGAAATTTTTCTGAAAAGTCTTCATTATATATAAGTAACAAACATCAAAAACCAGTATGAACACATTGAGAAAATATCCTTTTTATGAAAAAGGTACATTGCAGAAATGCTTCAGATGAGTCTCTTTCCAATTTTGATATTAATAATCAATTATTCACTATCTGTTGCAGGTTTTCCACTGCAAATTTGAGAGACTGAGCTAGCCAATGGCAGATAGATTGATCACTGAATGATTCTGTGAGCAACTCAATCTGCCTGCCTGCTTTGCCTGATTTTGGGTAAAAGTTACTCTTTTTTATAAAAAATTCAATATTTATATAAATATTTATAATATTTACATACAAGCCATGCTCAGCCAGTCACCTGACCACCAAGCCACACCCACAAATTAGGCCCCACCCACAGGCTAGTGGTCCAAAAGGTTGGCGAACCCTGGACTAGAAGACCTCAAAGGTCCCTTCCAGCTCATTCTGTTCTATTTTATTCTATTAATTATGACGGCTAGCTCAGTCTCTCAAATTTGCTTGCCATGAGTGCGCGCTGAATAACAGAACCTTCAGTCCTAAGGGAGGTTCGGCTGTGCTTAAAAGCAGAATCAAAGTTCTAAAGACTAGCTAGAAAGCAAGAAATCCAATCATTTCCTGCTTTCTAGCTAATCTAAATCTCCCGGCACAGCAGAACAGATGATGGTCAGAAAATTATTAATTACTCTATTCTATTCTATTAATTATGAGTAGCTAATTTGTGATATAGATGAAAACTGACTACTTTAATTATAAAATTAAGAAACAGAGTATGAACAACAAAGAACAGCACAGAAGAGTTAATCATGAAAATACAATATGGATAAGCTTTTCCAGAAAAATATCCTAAAAAAATATAACCACCTGTAAAGATGGTATGTAGAGAATATATGCACACAATATAGACCATACAAATTGACTAACCAAAGAACAGATTCAGAATCCAATATTGCAAAATTACCTTACTTCAATAATAAGTAGCTCCAATTTACTTTAGAAAAATAAGTGGTCTTTCTATGCCAAATATATGGCAAGAAACACCACAATAATTCAATAATTTGAATAACTTGAGAAATTTCTCCAGTTTCAGTAACAATGGTGGAACACTTTGGTGGTGAAATAAACATAATTTTTCTCAGTAAATAAAACACAAACTATGCTGTAGCTATAGTGAAGAATATCTCATACAATTCAGATAAAGCTCTCCTCTTTAACTCTGTGAAAAAAGAAAAAAAACCTCTCTGAATTCCAATATCATTTTAATCCTACAGATGGAATCTACAGATGTAAAACCAGTGAGCTTCACTAAGGAACATCCATCTTCAATATTAAAAGGTGGACTATCTTTCTAACTGATTTATTCAACTAGTTATAAATAGTTTAATAAATTTCGTAAGGCTAAAAGGAATTATCTTTTTGTGTTTTCTTATGTTTTCTTGTTTTCTCTGACTAATCTTTAAGGGATGGAGGAACAACCACAGAAATATTTAGGGGGGCACAGGTTTTTTTCACCTTCATCTAAAGCAGGGGTGTCCAACCTTCTGGGAGTTGAAGTCCACAAGTCTTAAATTGGCCAAGGTTGGACACCCCTGATCTAAAGGAATGAAAAAAGGTAAAATTTACAAATTAGCTTCTGGTAGGTAATGAAATAAAGGGTTCCAAAAAGAAATTGTCATCAGTACTAATTTCTAACTGTTACTGTGGAATTATTCTTTACTAATGGAATAATGTATGCAGCAGTATTTGGAAGCTTATTACATTTCTGAAAATCTAAATTATCATAGAATGCCTCCATCTGGTGGCAACAACTTAAATTCTAAATGGAATCTAGCAAATTTCTATCAAAAGGCTAATGTTTCATATCTGTACTCCTGTCTCCACCTGGTGACAAGACCCTTCAAAATTCATGGCTTAAATACTTAAGTCCACCACACAAAAAATGTTAGCAGCTAACCTTGAAGTCATTTAGCTTTGCATACTTCAAACAATTTTTTAGAAATCCGTTTTATAAAGAAATGCATCAGAATGCAATACTTTTCCATAACTGAAGCATCATTTATCTGCCGTAGAAAGATTCCCAAGGAACGTGTGAAAAATATAACACTGAGCTGTAGTCTTTTAATAGATTTTTTTAAATGTACCACTTAGGCAACTTGAAGTGAAAGGGTTACTGTTTGTAAGTGTTGTTATAAACAAAAATATTTGAATAATTATGAAGCATTCTTGGTTAAAATAATGAAAAGAGCCAATTCCAACAATAGTGATATTACCATAGTCAGACTACAACTGCAGTGGACTTCCTTAATGATGATTGGTAAATAAAGTTATATCAAAACATTATGTTGATTGCCATAATGTACATTAGAAATTGCTTTAGTATTGCGGCTACCAGAATCATTATTGCAAGATGCATGAACATATAAATTGACTAAGAAATATTTATCTTTTTCACACACAAGTATACATAACTTAATTTAAAAAATAAAATTTAAAAATTTCTGTCATCATTTTTGAAGCATGTCCTTTGACAGGCTAGGTAATTTGTAAGCTGAGCTGACATAAGGCAAACTTCTCAATTAATTGAATTAATTGAATTTACTTTCAATTAAAGCCACTCAAAACCCTCCAAAATCTGGTCATTTGCCCTCAAAATTCAGTTTTATGATGTCAGGATACTCTGGACACAGAAGGAATAAGATATAACTGTATTTGGTTTACAGATCGACTGTTCGTCCTAAAGTTAGATGCTTGTGAAATCATGCAATGTCACATCTACAGAGATGATCCTGGACATCATGTACAATTGTTGCTTAACATCAATGTAGTCTGATGCAATACATTTTCTCAGAAATGAACGTAAGAAGTTTCCAACTTTCAATATACCTTTTCAACCCATTTAAAAATAATCTGCACACAAAGAGAACGGAAATGCAAAAGTTAGTGAACAATAAATCATTAACATTTGAAAGAGAGCTTTAAAAAGTTAGGATTCTCATAATATTGGATTTTGAAATATTAAACATCTATAGTAACAAAGGTATACCTAAACTAATAGGAGCAATTATCAAAGTAGAAATTAGTTAGTACCTTTTACTTGACGCTATACAGGTAGACCTCGAGATACATCCGTAATGGGCATTGGTATAATTACCTGAGAATGCCCTTTCTATCTATGCTGCAAGACAGTCCAGGATGGGTTAGTCTCTTCCCTGTGATGTCATAGAGCTGAGTCTGCCTCTATATAAAAAGCCAGCCTTAGCTGGCCCCTCCCAGTTTTGGTGAAGCTACTTGGCAGACTTGAGTATCGTTGGAAGCCGAAAAATAAGGAAACAGTTAGAACAATCATGCCTTACCAGAACCAGATGTAACAAGGGTGGGGCTGGACTCTCTTGCAGCGTAGAAAGGATGTTTTCAAGTAATTATACCAGCGCCCATTCTCATCCACACTGCTTTGAGAGTCCAGGATGGGACAGCCTGCATGTCCATGGGAGGGTCATGGTCCAGTCAGCTTACTCTGACTGTGGGACTACCCTCTGGAGCACCCACTGCCGAAAGCTGCATTAGCTGAGGAAAAGGAGTCCAAACAATAGTGTCTGATGGAAGGCGACAGAGATGCCCATGTGGCCACTCAGCAAATTTCCTCGAGAGATGCCTGAGTAGCCCAGGCGGCCGAAGTCGCGGCGCTTTT